ACACGCACAACCTTGAGGCGGATGGGCTTCAACAGCAGAAGACCCCACCGGGTACCACTCATCTCCACTACAAATAGGAAAACAATTGCTACAATTTGCAAGAGCTCACCAAAATTGGACAGTTGAAGACTGGAAAAATGTTGCCTGGTCTGATAAGTCTCGATTTCTGTTGAGACATTCAGATGGTAGAGTCAGAATTTGGCGTAAACAGAATGAGAACATGGATCCATCATGCCTTGTTACCACTGTGCAGGCTGGTGGTGGTGGTGTATTGGTGTGGGGGATGTTTTCTTGGATGTTTTCTTCCCTTAGTGCCAATTGGGCATCATTTAAATGCCATGGCCTACCTGAGCATTGTTTCTGACCATGTCCATCCCTTTATGCCACCGTGTACCCATCCTCTGATGGCTACTTCCAGCAGGATAATGCACCATGTCACAAAGCTCGAATCATTTCAAATTGGTTTCATGAACATGATAATGAGTTCACTGTACTAAAATGGGCCCCACAGTCACCAGATCTCAACCCAATAGAGCATCTTTGGGATGTGGTGGGAACGGGAGCTTCGTGCCCTGGATGTGCATCCCACAAATCTCCATCAACTGCAAGATGCTATCCTATCAATATGGGCCAACATTTCTAAAGAATGCTTTCAGCACCTTGTTGAATCAATCCCACGTAGAATTAAGGCAGTTCTGAAGGCGAAAGAGGGTCAAACACAGTATTACTATGGTGTTCCTAATAATCCTTTAGGTGAGTGTCCATTAAAGCGCACTGAGATGCAAATGAGGAATCAATTGTGTGTGCCAAATTAATCTGTGTGCACACCCTTCCGGTGTGTGCAGCTGTGCTGTGCCTGTGTGCACAGATAACGGTGCGCAAGTACCGAAACTTAGCAATTAATCCGCAAAACACATCCGTGCCGAACCGTGGGGCCTGGTCTGTACAGATCACGGATCAACTAGGATTCGTATAACCCCTAACGTAGAGAGGAATATTGCAAGTAGGTATAACTGCAGACTGGAGATCTCCAAAATGGGGCATGCACTCCAAAAGTGGGCAGAACCTCCAAAAGGGGGCGGGTCGCCAAGTGCAAAGACTTGATCTATTGGCTCTGGCTTCATCCTATTGTCATTGACTTATTATATATATATATATATATATATATATACACTTTATAAAATTCCCTGAAACAACTAGCCCCGGTCTACCTTAGGCTACAACTTTGTTTCATGTTGGCTTACAGTGTAGGCTATTTAAAAGAAATTTAAAAAGTTTGTTACATTATGAAATGTATTTTTCCAGGTGCAATTTGTCTTTTGCAAATTGTAATTTGGAGCCACTTGCACAATTAGCTAAAAGTCATCTGCATGACTTTAAAAAAAAAACACTGCAGTTTTTGTGATGTATTTCTTGATATGTACGTTTATAATAAAGTCAAAAAATCTGACCGCAGTCACTGGAGTTTACTGTTGTTACAACGCATTACCTCTGGCTAACGCGACTTCTATTTGGCGACATTCAAAAAAATACGCTCCGTGACTAACTATAGTAATCTAAACCCTCCCGTAACCCTCAACCTTTTATTGTCGAAATTCTCTGTATTATTAGTTGCAATTCTACCTCGTATGCGTTCGGGATGTTGACGGTTTCTCCGTGTTCTGCAACATAACCTATGATGCCTTTTCCCCACGGAACCTGCACCTCGTTTGAGTCCAGAGTGCTCGAAGAGGGTCGCACCGTGGTACCCGAGTGCACATCAAAAAACTTGGACACGAGTGTCCTCTTATGAGACGGTCCCTCCACTAGGAAAAGCGAACACCTGTCTGCGTTTACCATGATGCACACATTGATAAGAATCTTGTAACTGAGGTTCGTCATGTCAAGTTCGTTAGAAATGTCCTTAACCAGCTCGAGGAAGAACTCCCTCTCGTTGGACTCTTTGAGTCTGTATTTGTAGTCAATGGCGCTGGAGGCATATTTAGGCACGTTGACTCGGGACTCGAGGAGCGCGCTCAAGATGTGCGCGGTGGTCGGCGGTAACGAGCTAGCTTTCCGCAAGAGCGCGCGCCGTCGCATACTTGACTGGGACTCGTTGGCCGTGAGACTGACGTGCTCGTCGTAGGTCCGGTGAGCCGTCATCGCTTTGGACCGGGCGAAGTTCCTGCGGAGCTCCATGTGGGACGATCTGCGCTTCTGTCCGTCAGGGTTCGTGGGCCAGAATGGGTCCCTCGCGACCCCGCGTTTCTCCTCCACCGGAGACGTTTTGGACGGCTGATGCTCTTTGATCCACCTGCTCAGGGTGTCACATTTTCCCTTTCTGACGAGATATTCCTCAAAAAGCTCTGGGTGGCAATCCAAAAATGCCTCCACGTCGGAAAAATCAAAAGTTGTCATGTCGATAGCCAAAAATGCCACAGACAAAGTGATCTGAAATCGTCCGGTAACGCTCAGCTCACTGTGTACTGCCGCACACACTTCACACGTCCATCTGTCATTTACATATCTCTGTTCTCCAGCCTTCCTCCTCGCGCCGGTCTTTTATGAGGCTCGTGGAGTTGAACAGTGACTGATGCGCGCAAAAATAATAAGTAATTTGACAGGTAAGACACTAGGGCTCCTCTGGGAAGGACCTAAATTAACTTAAAAGCAAACGAGTTTATCCGTGACTGAAAATGGATGTTTCTTTTGTGTGTCTAGTGTTTAACGAACTCTCTGGTTTTGTTTGGTGAAGAAGCTCTTTGTATACGGTATAGGCTATGTCTTCATCACACTTGCGTAAATACGTGTGTGTGTGTGTGTGTGTGTGTGTGTGTGTGAGAGAGAGAGAGAGAGAGAGAGAGAGAGAGAGAGAGAGAGAGAGAGAGAGAGAGAGAGAGAGAGAGAGAGAGAGAGAGAGAGCGAGAGAGAGAGAGAGAGAGAGAGAGAGAGAGAGAGAGAGAGAGAGAGAGAGAGAGAGAGAGAGAGATTATTTTTCAATACCTTTTTTTTATTATTATTTCATTAAGCACTAATGAGCTAAAGGCTTTTGAAGTAGCCCCAGTCTGAAAATCATGCCTGCTTTCATTTGTCATTAAAGAATCCCTTTAATCTAAGTCTGTCCACAATGTATATTCCAACAGGATGAATAGCTCATTGTTTCCTGTTTGCCCAGAGAGCATTCATTATGAATTTAATATTAAATAATAAAAATAAAAAAAACATTTCAATTGAACTTTGTATTGCTTTATTGTTGCTGAAGGGACATTTATCTTGGACTCTGTATATGTGAAAAATTTTTATATGTGCATGCATGAAAATAATGTCAAATTAGCTTAAACTGGTTTTTGGAACATGGTTTCTGCTCAAACTGTGCAGCCTACCATCCAATCATCTTTTAAAACCACCATACATGTTTTATTTGTATGAAGAGTAATGATGTCAAACCAAAATGTTTATTATTATTTAATATTTTACTTATACGTTTCGTTGAATTAGTTCACCACTGCATGTTGTCATTTCATTTATTGACGCATGGACCTTCACTTCTCCTGAAAAGGCATTGTGTACTTGTTCAGCTTTCATTCCAACTGAACACTTTCTGACTTTGTCAGAAATATGTTTTTAACAGAAAGAAACAACAAAGTATGCAACTGTGGATTAGTTCTGCTTTGATATAATATTCTCCTTACTCCTTACATTTAAACTTTATTTCTGGGATCTGCCCAGAGAGCGTTTATACGTTTTAATTATAGAATCATCCATGGATGTGTAATGCAGACAGGTCTTCAATAAACAATTTCATCAGATTCTGGGATTGTAGGGTGCAAATGGAGGATATGTTCATGTATTGTGCTCCATAAAAGAACCTCCATTGTGCTCCTCTGAGCTTGATAGGTTAACCACTTAAGCACATTTTAAATGGTTCCTGGTGTGCGTGTTAGCTTATACCAGTTGATGCTCATTAGTAAGTTGAGGTACTGCTGCAGCCTTGACGTTTAAAACCGCCCCTAATGGCTCGCAGCATTATATTTTCTGACACAGGCTAATGAAACCTGCTCTCCATAGTTGAGTATTAACAAGCAACCAAGGGAGCGGGATCTGCACACTACATTCATAATACAACAGTAGGAGATGTAATACAGCAACCCCTCGGAAGAGGAGGAAGGTAATTGGTCACTGAACTTTACTTTGGCATGTGTGCTAAATCCCAGCTTTTCTTGAAACCTTTGACAAGGCCCCTGGAGGATCCCAATTAAAGGTGTAATACTGAATATATTGCTTAACACAGCCTTGTAAATAAGGCCGGTCAGTGGAAATGCTTGGCAAGCAATTGCCGGTGCCACTGGACAGAGTCTGGTATATCGATCGGTGTGTTCGCTTTTTATTGAACACCAAATGTTCATGCTAAGATATTGAGTGGTAGTTTTTCCTCAGGTGTGTGCATTTATAAAAACAGCTAGGTAGATTAAATGTATGTTTAATGTAATGCATGATATGGAATGTAATGAGATAATGTTGTTCATGTAAGCCTGAGTTGTGGAAGTGACACGTTTCAGGACCACGGACAGCACTCCTGCTGTTTCAAATGGAGACAGCAGTGATGATGACTTGGTGGGAATAAATTTAGAGACTTAAAGGAAATCAAACAAGTCATTACTTTAGCACACGAGCCTTTAAAGGGGATTCTCTAACATTCAAGCCAACTGAAGGAACAATGGAGATTCTATTTTCCATTATGATGTCAGAATGCATTTTTGTTTTCAAATAGTTTCATTTTCTCCATAGATGAATGAAAGACTTATGTTTGGGAACAACATGAAGGTACGTAAATGAAGACAGAGGTTTCATTTGGGTTAACCACCCCTTTAAGCATTCCTATGTGTAAACTGCACTACGTTTCCATTGGATGCATGTGCTATGAATTCAGTTAGCTGTTGAAACCAGAGATGGGTTTACACTCTCTGCAGTAGCCTAGATCTCCGTTTCTCAGATAGCCTGCTCTGGTTTCAGCCTATCTATTGAATACAAGCACCGAACTTTCTGCACTCAGAGACCCAGCCACAGCAGACTTTACATTCTGAGCTGTGATTGCTCTCTGAGGGCTATTGGTTTATTGCATTATTCATTAGGAATACATTTACTTTTGAATGTACATAATTAGCTTTGAGTGTAACAGTTAAAACCTACCGACGGGAACTGACATCAGCCTAATTTGTTCAAAGTCGACTTTTGTATTATATTTTGAATTTATAAGTGAGTTTAAGGGCTTAGCAGTAGGATTAAGTGCGATCTGTCAGCGAGGCAGGTCTAATGAGCATCTCGCATCACCAAATCCCTTAAACACAACAAAGGCCGCAGCTGAGCTTCCATAGTGATGGTGTTCGGACTTGGATAAAGTGTCACTCTGTGGTTTCATGTGGCTGTTTGTAGATTCAATACTATGAACAGTGTGGGAATCCAAGCTTTCGGTAGCAGATGCGATTTTCACGGTGGCGTCCACCTGTCCAACATTTGCTTCCTTTGATCCACCAGAATCAGACTGAACACCTGCCCACCTTTCAACCTGTGTGCCAGAGCATTGGACTGGGAACCATGAAAGAGGAAACCTGCCCTTCTCCACTCAGACTCCCACCCATCTTGAGGCAACCGTTAAGCATCACTGGACTCTATATTCCAAGGTGAGGATATTCTAGGATCCTGCATTTAAAGGGATACTTCACCCAAAAAACGAAAATTCTGTCATCATTTACTCACCCTCAAGTTGTTCCAAATCTGCATGAATATCCTCTGCTGAACAACACAAAAGAAGATATTTTGAAGAATATGGGTAACCAAATAGTTGATGGTATTGACTTTCATTGTATGGGTACTATGGAAGTCAATGTGTTTAGCTTGAAGGTGAGTAAATGATGACAGAAGTTTTATTGTTGGGTGAACTATCCCTTTAAGATTTAGTTCTATATAATGAAAAGGAGTATTTTGTTACGTTTTAAGGACATAAACATAAAGAAAAATAAGTGTAATGTGACCTAAACTCATTGTCTTTCAATTGTACATAGGGACAACAGGGTCTACCCAAAAAGGCATCATAAAGAGCAAAGCCAACAGGCTTATAGAAAGATGGCTTTCAGTTATCGGAATGAACATATCCCTGCAGTCATTAAGGGACATCAACACTTCGGCTTCGGAGGATCTGTGTTGCCTGAGTAAGCATTGCTAATTCTTAAGACATATCTATTGAACACAATTTAATCAAATTAAATATTACATTGGTTAAATTAATTTCACAAATAACTTATAATATTAAATGATTGTAATGAATATTATTTTGAGTTATTTTATTTTAAACATTTTTAATTTTGTTTTTAATATTTTAAGTGTATTGTTTAATATACAGTATACAGTATACTGTATATATATATATATATATACATTTGAATTAAACTATTATTTCATTAAAATTATGTAAATAAAATATAGAACTGTTTAATGTTTCATTTACATAATTGTATTTTATTAATGTATTTTTAATTTTATTTACATTATTTATAAACATAATTTTATTTGTTTTATTGAAAAGCTGATAACGTCTTCTAAATGCATGCCTTAAAAGATTTTCAGAAATTCACAAATTTGAATGTGCTTACGTTTAGGTCTGTCATCATTGAGCAATATTATGACCTCACCCTCACCAAGAAGAGTAATGTCCGACTGAATGACCAGCTGTAAGTTTTCACAGATTCTCGCTTGCTAATTTCACACAATAATCAAATTAGCTTATATTATCATTATTGATTTATTTATTCTTTTGTTATGTATTGATTCCAGGGTTCCCAACCCGACGGACATTGACATGAGGTAAAATGATGAAATTTAATTTTCTGTTTTTTCTTTTGCACACCTTGCATGCTGTATTTATTTATTTATTTTCCTTACACTGTGTGTATCAACTGCACATTAGAATAACACACATGCTCTCTTCTCTTCTACTCTCTTCCTTTCATCCTGTTGAGTAACTGGTTTTGCTGTCAGGCATGGATGGATCAAGGATAGAGTGAAAGCACAATCTTTTCATTGTAAAAATCCTGAGATTTATAATCCTGTGTGTGTGTGTGTTCTTACAGTAAGAAGATGATTAAAGTCGATATTCCGAGGGAACATCCTTTCAGCTCCCACATCGCCCGGTATCCCGCTATGTTTCCATCATACCGATCCCTACCAGTCCAGCCCTCCAGTGCTTCTGCTCCTGTAGTTGTGTGGCGGCATCATCAATGGAGCAAATAAACTAAATAAAAGCTGAATAACAAAAAGAAATTATGTATTGAAACAGTTTGTGGACAAAATGCATTTTGTGATCCAGACAACCCCTTTCACAAACAAAAAACATACATCTCATTCAAAGATTGAGTCCCTCGCAAATATATGTGCACCCCTGCCCCAAAATATAAACATCAGAATCATTATAAACTAAATCATTTATCTGTAGCTCTGTCAGGTGCAGACAGTTCACTGAGTTCTGAGTCGGTCCTTTCTTTTTTCTATTTAAAAGGTGCTAGAATGACCTTAGCTTCACTGAGAATGGGTTTCTTTTTTATTTCTTTTCAAACAAGTGAAAAGCATGTCTCACAGCAGCAATGTCCTTGAGCGTTTGCAAACACACATTCTTTCATTCTCCAAGCATCAGTGCCACCTCTGCATTCGGAAAGCTGAAGAATGACAGCAATCTGCATTTTAGCTATTGTTGGAAGTTTACAGAGGGAGAATCAATGCACATATATAAAAAGAATTAACAGAGTGACCTAGACCTTCTCTGAGCAATGGACCATAGACATTTTTTTCTGTCACTGTTAAAATATGTCTTATTGATACTTTCGTTACGTGTATAGTGTACGTGATGTTAATTGAAACTTGCGTGTGACAGAGATTGTACCCTTGGAAGTTGCTAAAACCAAACATTTATACATTAAAAGGAAAATATACCAATTCATGATGACAGTTGTAATCTAAAAAAAAAAAATCCAGGAAGAGGAACAGCTGGCATAATATGTGGGTCTAAGAGATAAGTTATTCCTGTTGTCATGGAGACGACTGACTCTTGACCTCAAGTGCCACAACTGAGGATACGTAGAGAAGAGGCGGTTTTAAGAATTGATAATGTCCTTGTGTAAATTTTGTGCCTTTAATATATATATATATATATATATATATATATACAGTATATATACTGTATATATATATAGCTGAAGAGTTGTAAAACTCTTTTACAGAATAGGTCATATTAATCTGCTTGTTACTTCTGACTTCACATGTCATCAGATGAAAAGTCTGTCTCTATTTTGTCATGTGGCATACCTTACTGCATGCGCAATAATTATAGACGGCAAGCGTTTTTCCTGCTTTCTGCGTGTCTCTTATTGAAAATGACCTGCAGTATACAGTTGCCGTGTCCGAAGTGTTGTTTTGTGGTACCAGTTCATGAGCGGACTACCGCGATTCTCCCGATTAACCTGGGCCTGCAGTTTCTAGAAGAGGGTGGTACTCTCTCTAATGAGTAATAATACTATGACTTTGTTACTCAGGCCCTGTCCAAAATGGCACTTCATGTCCACTTGCAGTCTTCTGGACTTACAATGGCTGCTGTGTGCGCATGTATGTTAAGTCCACAGGACTGTGCACCGTAGGGTGTCCCATTTGTCATTTCAGAAGCCCCTTTGTGGCCAATATCCCCCCTTGATGTGCACTTTTGCCGAGTCCACAGACCCATGAGCTCCGCAGCAGACTTCTACTCGACAGTCAAAGCGACATTACATCACAAAAGAGGAGAAAGATCACGGGAGGCTTATTGTTCCATTTGGGACATGGCCTCATAAAAAACAAGTTACGATTGCTTGATTGGTTTGAGTACCATAAGCAAAAGAGTTTTTAAGGCAGGACCATTCTTAATAGACTTTTCACTCATTTCCCTCACTTCTGCAGCTATCTTTCTCCTTAGTTGCATTCACTAATTTTCCAAAGCCATTTTGAATGTTGAATTGTCAATTCCATTTTTTTTTTAATTTTGAGAGAACATCACAACATCACATAAGTTTGTTTCATAAATTGATGTTGATTTCCTAAAATGGTTTTGTTTGAACTCACCATTATGATGATTAGTGTTCCCACGTGGTTAGGCACTTGGAACTTTTGGAACATTTATTTTACCATAATTCTCATCCTATTGATGCAGTGATGCAACAAAAAAATATGTTTTATTGACAAACACGTTGAAATGATTTCCCCAATCAGCACAAGAGGAGGCCTGTGTATACACAGGGGTTAAAGTGGGCCGGAACGGTCCGGAACTGCGTTCCGCCACCTCAGATAAATAAATAAATAAATAAATAGATTCATTAATCTCAACGAATCACGCTGGTCCCGAGCTGGGCCGACCGACCGACCAACCTCCCTTCCTCCCCGCTGAACGTGAGCGATTACAAATGCGTGAAATGCACTCACGGTGGTTGAGCGCGGTAAAGTTAGTTTTAGGTTCGATATTTCGCCTGACATTTGTTTTCCCTAGCCACTGTTCTATAGGGTCTTACAAAGATATCAATAGCAGGATTAGTTTTAACATTATGTAACCATTGTATATCGACGTGAAATATTCGTTCAAAATCACCTACGTGCATTAATGCTGCATATTTATACCTGAGAATGCTTTGACGCGTTTGCACAGCGCATGATGAGGGAACGTCTGCCAATTCCACCAACTGCGTTAAACGTAGCCTATAATTTTTATTATTTAAAATTACTTTTCAAATTCCAAAGCTTGTAGAAGGTTACTATTGGCAATTCTGACCTGGTAGCCGAGTATATTAACTTGTTTAAGAAAATGATTCATAAAACATATATATCAGTTAAGCCTATGTTTACTTTCTTCACTGACACAGACGAAAATGAAAAGACTATCAGTCAAAGTTCAGCTTTAGGAGGGGAAGAAATAGGCCAGGATAAGGAGACTGAGAGAAAAAGAAAGATGTAGATGAGGAGAGAGCAGGTATTGACAAAATAATCTAATGCACACTCAATGACATGGTTTTAAAGCTATTTATTATCCATTTTTTGGGCCTTCAAAAGTCTTAAATTGCACATTTGTAGGTCAGAAAAATCAAAATTTTCTCGGGGGACCATGCCCCCGAACCCCCCTAAATACCTCTCATTTTAAAGGGGTCATATAATGCCATTTTTGTACAAGCTAATATGATTCTTTAGGGTCTAAATTAAAAGTTTGTAATATACTTTAATTAAACATTCTCATTAGTATTGTAAGAAAACACTTATTTTACCTGGTCAAAAACAGCTCTGTTTTCAGCACGCCGTTTCAGTGTATATGACTTTAAATGATAATGAGCTTTGCTCACTCCGCCTCTTTGTTCTGTGCATACACCATTTGTAACTAGATAACACAATAACCATAACGCGTTGTTCAGTATAAACGTGGGATTATGAATTATATTGAGAACGTCATACATAGAAAACATGCCGTAATGTACCCTGAGTGTAAACCTTAGACGCATTCATTGTGAAGCGTGCAGCTAGCGATTTGCAAAGATTAATATATTAATATAAAGTTTAATAAAACGTTACACTCACTTCCGTTCTTCTGGAGATTCAGCAGGAACACGAATATCTGGTACCAATCCATTTTTCATGAGCAGCTTCTTAGCAAATCCAGCTTTATACTGACCCTCAAAGCAGTCTGGTGTGTGAAATGATTCGCGCAAACATGAAAGCATTGACGTTGCTCGTGGGGAATATAAAACAAACTCAGCCGCTGCGTCTTCAGCGGTTCAGATTTAGGAACATTAAAATGACTGCTGTGTTCGTTATTACACCCAAGAACAGAACACCACAATCGCTTAGACGCCATTCTGCTCATAGACAGTGCTCCAGCATATCAACAATGAGCGCGCTGGTCCGCGCGGACTATGATTGACAGCTCCCTCATGAGCGAGGGCGGGTCTGTGTTGAAACGCTCTGTCAATCAACAATCGTGGGAGGGGCGTGCGAGCTTGTGACGTCACAGGCTCGAACGGCTTGATTTGAGGCAGGGGAAAACATATAAGGAGATTAAAACAAAACCACTGGATGGATTTTTATCATTATATGATGGTTGTGTACAGACACTGCCAACACACATCTCAATACAATCAACTTGTAAAAGTGCATGTACCATTACATGACCCCTTTAATGCACGTCTGTGGGTGGGGCTGTGGATGATAATTATACCAAAAAGTATTGCTATACCACAATACTCAATATGTTGTCCCACGGTGAGCCTGTTTTCCCTGTTGCACCTACACAAAATTTGAGGGTTCCCCCACCTGCCAAATCCCACTTTAACCACTGTGTATACATAGCCGACTCACATATGTTCCTCAAAAACTTTTCTGCATCCCTCCACCACCTCACTCTCTTCTGTTTCCTCCCAGTCAGGGGTATGGGGGGGAGCACACTGGGTTCAGGCCAAACTCCGATCTTGGACCCTTCCCCTCGAAACAGCACACCAAATACCCAGTAAGCAATAGCCATCATTTCACCATCTAGGTTAACTATAGACCCAATATAATCGGGCTATGAGTACTTCTAGCCAAAATAACCTTGAATTTGGTTACATGTTGGTAACCAACGGGATACCCCATTATGGGGTCAGATACAACATTTGACTTTGTCTATTCAAGAATAAATTGTACATATTATCCTATGTACATGTTGCAGCAGTGTGGGTAGCGGACGTCTGTGATTGTATTCACATTTTGGCCTTTCAATATAACAGCCTCTGAGAAACTCAAGGAAATGTAAAAAGTGTTGCAACCGTCCCCACTCTCCTCTATTCTTTTTATTTATACTTCAGGACCTTTTTCAAACAAGTGAAAAGCATGCAATGTGTGTCGGCCCACTGGTTGTCCTTGAGCACTTGGGTACACAGATCCTTTCACTGAAAACTCTGCATACAGAAAGCTGAAGAATGACAGCAATCTGTATTTCATCCATCGTTGGAGGTGTATAAGGGACAAAAATACAGCAAAACCAGTAATATTGTGAAATATTTTTACAATTTAAAATAACTGTTTTCTATTTGAATATATTTTAAAATGCAATTTATTTCTGTATTGGTAAAGCTGAATTTTCAGCATCATTACTCCAGTCTTCAATGTCACATGATCCTTCAGAAATTATTCTAATATGCTGATTTGATGCTCAATAAACATTTATTATTATTATCAATGTTGAAAACAGTTGTGTACACTTT